TGGATCAAATCCACCAGCCACTCCTTGGAAGAAAGGTTGGGCAATCTACTTCCGTAGTGATACTGCCTCGGAAACCCAAGGAGGGGTCGTTATGAGTCAGGTCCGACTTGATGGCAAATAACAACAACAACAACAACAAATGTCCTCCAAGTTCATCCACGTTATGCAGTGTTTTGCAGATTCTACATTATACTTTAGGGTTGAATAGTAGTATTCCATTGTGTGTATGTACCATAGTTTGGCTGATGGGCACTTAGGTTTCTTCCATCTCTTTGCTATTGTAAATAGTGCTGCAATGAACAGGGGTGTGTATGTATCTGTTCTTGTCCTGGCTTTCACTTCTTTAGAATATATACCTAGTAATGGAATTGCTGATTCAAATGGTATTTCTAATTCCAACTTTTTAAAGAATTGCCATACAGTTTTCCACAGTGGTTGTGTCATTTTACAGTCCCACTAGCAGTGTGTGAGAGTCCCACTGTCTCCATATCCTTGCCAGAATTTGTTATTTTCTGTCTTGTTTAACTTTGCCATTAGTGCTGGGGTGAGATGGTATCTCTTTGTTGTTTTGATTTGTGTCTTTCTGATAGCTAATGACCGTGAGCATTTCTTCATGTGTTTGTTGGCTGCTTTGCTGTTAGTTTTTAAAGGTAATATCTGAAAGGCAGGAAATCCTTATTCAATATCATGTCCTTTGAATTCTCAACTGCAGTTTTAACATATAATTTGTAAAGGCTTCTTTGAGAAATTTTATTTTTCATTTATTGTATGCCCTATCATGTTTTGAGTTAGTTTGATTTCACTGGTGAAAATTAATACATTTGTGGGAAATGTTGAAGATTACTTTGGGACACCTGAAATTATTAGGCATAGGCCCCATATTACTGGAGCAGCTAAGTAGCTGCTTTAGGGTTGTGGTCTGCTTCCAACATATAGGAAGCAGCTTTGGGAATGGTCTGCAGCTTTTTGGCACAGTTGAATCCTGCATGTAGCCAAGTCCTTGTTCAGTAGCCTGCCATATCCTGCCAATCTTGGGACTTTTTCTGGACTTGAATTATGGCCTGCTGTGTTGTTCAGTAATATTGGGACTGTGCCTTTTTACTTGTTGACCTTGGATTTGTCACCCTCAGCAGCCAGCAGCTGAGTGAAGAAAAGCTTTCAGCCTCAGTGGGCTGGGAGCTGGAGGCAGAGCTGAAGCCCAAAGTTGAGGGGCTTTCATATAAAGCCTGGCACTTTGAACTTGGACTTCTAGCTTCCGAAACTTTAAAAGAATAAATCTGTTTGTTAGAGCCATCCCGTTTGTGGTATATTTCTGTCAGAGCAGCACTAGGTAACCAAAACAACATTCCAGGGCTCTGACCCATGTATTTTCCTGTTCTGGTTATTGTTCCTGTGTACTCACATTTTACAAATTCAGATCTGTTCTGATTTTGCTGCATTAGCCATGACTGAAACAGTTACAACCAGTCTGAAACCTGGGAAAGATCATGGTATTTGAAGTTAAATAGATCTGGGTTTAGGTCTAAGATACTAGCACTTTGATTTTAGGCAAGTTACTAAATCTCTCTGCGTTTGGGTTCCTCTACATGTAAAATGGCAGTAAATATCTTTTAGATGTAATATGAAGATTAAAGAGATATGCTTTCTATAGTACCTATTGTGGTACATGGCAAATAGTGGGTAGGTGCTCAATAAATGGTAACATATTATACCAGTCTCACTTATCACTCATCTAGCATTTTTAACCTATGCTTGCTCTCTCTCTCTCTCTCTCTTTTTTTTGCATAGTTGATTTTTTTGTCTTTGACAAGATCATAACCTCCTTAAGAACTTGGATATACGTGGTTCTTAAATACTAGCTTAGTGAATTGGAGCTAGTATTTATGAACTTGAGAGTATGAGGTTAAAGTAAAGAAATCTGTTTCTTTTTCCTTAGCTAGCCTATTGTGATTGCATTATGGAAAATCAAGTGGCTAAATCAACTGAAGAACGAACATTTCAGTACCAGGATACTCTTCCATCTCTGCCTGTTCCTTCACTTGAAGAATCATTAAAGAAATATCTTGACTCAGGTATGCTTATAATCTTTTTTTTTTTTTTTAAAAAAAAAAAAACAACCTCACTGTCATCAAGCTGATTTGAACTCATAGAAACCCCCATTGGGTTTCCAAGGCTGTAAATCTTTGCAAAAGCAGACTGTCCCATCTTCTTTCTATGCAGTGGCTGGTGGATCAAACCACCAACCTTTTGGTTAGCAGCTGAATGTTTTAACCACTGTCCTACCACAGCTCCTTTATAATCTTTTATGTATATTAATATTGTCAGCAACTTAGAAAACTATGAAACTCTTAGAAGTTTATGAGGATCTAATTGCTGGCTTTTCCATGCTCAGGAAAATTAAAATATTCTTGAAGTGTACCCCAATTTTTTTTCTCTTATGTTATAATTTCCTTCTGTAATACATATGTTTAGTTTAAAAAGACAGATAGTAGTACTATTAGGCAATTTTCATCTGCCTTATTCCCCCCTCTCCTAGTTGTAAATTCTATTCTCTTAGGCAAATCAAAACCAAAACCACTGCCATTGACTCACAGTGACCCCATTGGGTATCCAAGGTTGTAAATCTTTATGGGATTAGATTGCCTCATCTTCCTCCTATGGAGCAGCTGGTGGGTTTGAACTGCTGACCTTCTGGTTAATATCCAAATGCCTTACCCACTATATCACCAGAGTGTCTGACTCCCTCAGGCAAGGATTTTGAAGTCTTCGTATTTTATGTGTTGTCATCACACGTCATTATTTCTGTCTGCTTTACCTAGTTATTCAGGGATTACGTTGCTCAAGGGACCAAACGTGTGGGGTATAGGGATGATGCTGTCTTCCCCAACTGTACTCTCACAGAAGTCCTTTACTCTTCTGGTTCAATCAGTGCTACTTCTTCTTAAATGTGGTGTTATCCTGTAACTTTCCTTTGCCATAACCCTGGCACTTCTCTTCACCTCTCTCTTCCATGTTTGTTAGATTCTCTTTCTTCCTCCTTCTTGGGTCATGCTCTTATTTTGGTGCAGTATGTTTTTAGTAGCTACCTGAGAAAAGGTGCCTGGGAGGAAAAAAATGTAACCTGAAAGTATATTTATTTATTTTTATTGTGATTTGAGTGAAGATTTACAGAGCAAATTCACTTTCCATACAGCAGTTCACATACACTTTGTCTCATGACATTGACCACAGTTTACCACAATG